TAGAATTTTACCTTGTATTACGGATGTTACTTTGGTATTGATTGAATAACAACTTTGTTTGAAATAAATTTTTTTGACATGATAAGCATGCACAGGTGCACCTTGGAACTGTTTCTGAATGTTTTTTGGCTTTATAGCATTTGAAGGTACAGTGATAATGATGTGCTATTGAAATATAGGTCATTGTCGAGGAAGGATCTTCAAGTTCTAGTTGGTCATGGATGCCCAAGCATGGACCCAAAAGTTGTTTTCTCAGCGAAGCTGTTGAGGAAGCTTGTCCACCTTGATGAAGGAGACGTATGTACAGCCATTTTTAACATATATAATATATAGTTTATTATGAGTTGGAAAGAATCATATGCTTGTTTTCTTGGTCTTTGGTGATTTCTATGTTCGAAATATCTTCATCTTTTTATATCATGAATGCCTACTTAAAAAGTAACTTGCATCACCTATATTACTAGAGTAACTAGACAAACTGTTTCTTTGTCCATGAAGGTTACTGCATGTTTTGGGTTGTTGCCTCAATAGGCATTTTCATTAGCAAAGATAACAGGCCTAGCAATACTGTTGACCACTAAAGAGATGATGAGACATACAATATGTTAGAAGTTTGTTAGTTGAACAGGACTATAGAGTATAGAATTTGTTGTGTTCAGGATGAAATTAACCAGATCTCTCAATTGTCCTTGAAGCATGGTCTTCTTGGTGCTTTGCTGATGCTATCAGATATGGCTTGCCCTTGATGCAAGAAGCAATATGTAGAGCAATGTTCAGGTATAGTGTGAGGTGCTTGTTGGAAAGTTCGCTAATTTTTTTAACTAATTATTACTATAATTGCTATAAGTCAGCAGTAAACATGATTTTTTTTCCAAAATGGGTGAATAATTTGAGTTTCTAGAATAGCAACAACAGTAATTTACCATATGGTGTCAGCTACATGGATAATTCCTCACAAATTAGCTCTGTCAAGGGCGACCTCACTGTTCAAATTAACAGTAGCCATATTATTTACATTTAGAGAACAATGATATTATAGGCTTTTAATTTTAAAGCAGTGATTGCTGATGAGATCTTTGGTGCCAAAGCATGTGATCTACATCCTGTTGCCTTGAGCAAAATATACCAAATCCAATTATCCATTTCCATTTTCCCTTTGTGCACAAAAACATAGAAATGATGTTCTTAATCGGTTAAAGTGTTGCTTTACGTTTGCAAATAGAGAAACATGTTAGACTCCCTAGGCATGAACTATATGCTTAATACTTTGTTTGATGGATCCAAAATGATTAGATCATCCAACACGAATGATTTTAGAACCTCTTAAATTACTATAGCTGATCCCACAGTTGATCAATACATGAATGAAGGAACTTGGATTAAGATTAGCTCAAGGTGACATCAAAACTGCCAATTTTCAGGAGCCAGATTTTGGTTGATCTTAGATTATTCCAATTTATTGTTACAGATCTTAGTTACTGCTAGCACCATGCTGGTTCAGGTTGATCCTGGGTGACCTTGTTCAATTTTGATGTGGTTGGTCTAGATAGGCTTTTTTTTCTTTTGCATCGTGCACGTGCCACGTTCATGCTGCATCAAGGGTAGTCATCTGCCACCGAGGACAGGGAAACAAGCACATATCCATAGGGGGGTTTGAACTAGCAACCCATTGAAATCTCTTGGGTGCCTTAACTGCCCAACTAATGGGTGTCAGCAGTGGATTTCCATCTTTAATATGCAAAATCGACAATTGTGACTGTACAAGTAACTTCCGCTTATGAGGTTACATAGAGGCACATTTTTGGTGTTTCATGAATTTGATAAACACATCTTGAGTTTGCTTTCCACTTAAGACTTCAATTCATCTACTAATTGAGTGTGGCAGCAGATTCATAGGTGCTTCCATTTATGTTGAACCCATCAGATACTGTGAATTGCAAACATAACCATGTTTTTCTTGCTTTGAAATCTTAGGTATGTAGTTCTTGCAGTCTAAGGAACTCATGTGGTAGAGGATATATCCTTACACGCAAAGAAGACGAGGCACGCACTCTTGATGTTATGCGCGTCTTACTGACGTTTGGTTTTGACCATGTAAAAGAAACAGTTGAAAATAAACCTCTCATGAAGATGAAATCTGTGAAAACCGTTGTCCGCAAGCTGCTACATGAGATTGTTAAGTTGAGTGCAATTCCAATAGATCCCAATCTTCCACCCCCCATTATCCAGAAGCCTCCTCCTAAGGTAAAGCAACCCCCTCCGCCACCGAAAAAAAGAGTGGGACGTGGTGATGTGGAAATGAAGAAAGGAGATTGGCTTTGTCCCAAGTACTTCTTTTGCCTTTGTGCTTCTTTTGAATTCTTTTTCTTGATCCTGTGACTTTGTTGGCTAAAGTTAAATGATTTTGGACTCAGGTGTGACTTCATGAACTTTGCAAAAAACACTGTTTGCTTACAGTGTGATGCTAAACGACCCAAGAGGCAACTCCTCCCAGGGGAATGGGAATGCCCTCAGTAAGTTCTTTTTATCTTTTCTTTTTTACTTTATCTCTGACTTCAATATATATATGATATCTGTTCATATGGTTGTTGTTTTGTTCTCCTTTTGGTGAAGTAACTTAGCTTCACAATCTTAGAAGTCCTTAAGAATCTAAAGTTCATTTATCTTTTTTGTTAGGTGCAACTTCTTGAACTACAGGCGAAACTTGGCATGCTTTCATTGTGATCACAAGCGTCCCCCTGATGAATATACAGATAATCAAATGCACTTAAAGCAATCTGGTCCAAGGACAAGATTGGAGAGGACCACCAGAATGAGAGATGTTTCTAATGCATGGAACTTTGACTTTGATGACAATGAATCTGATGGTGCAGATGTTGCTGCATTTGAGTTTGCAGATTTTCATAAAAGCAATGTAGGCACTCCAGACAATCGGTCTCATAGGGGAACTGATATGGAATTTGAAGATGATACTAGTCATACTGCCAGGGTTTCAAGAACCCGAGAACAAGATCAGTCCTTTAAGGAAGCTGATGAAAGGAAATCCACCTTTAATTCGTATAGAACAGGATTTGATGATTTTGATGACAAAGAGGATGATGATGTGGACAGTTACGAGCTTGATAGCCCTCGAGCAAGTGAAGTTTCTCGGATGAATTACTCTGAGCTGGAGCAGACATCCGAATCTGAAGATTTTGAGGAATTTGATCATCATGCTAAGTCAAGCCAAGGTGCCAAGGATTATGCATCTGACTCCGAGGATGATGCTCGTGCAAATCATCCGTATTGGAGACCCAATCATGCTGCAGACGCTAGACGGAAGTCTGGAGGCAGGAGTCACACCCGCCCGTTTAGGGAGATGCCTTTCAATTCAGATGATGACTATGAACTAGGTTCTGATTCTGATGAAATGGATGGGAGTTTTAGGTCTAAACAAGGAAAAGGCCATCAAGAAAATCTACATAGGGCTAGTAGAGGAAGAATTTCTGATTCTGATGATGGTTCTCTTCTTGGTATGCAGTCTGATGATGATGACTTACGTGCCAGACGAAATAAGAAGAGAGGAAAATCCACTTATGGAGGTTCACAAAGAGAGTTTCTATCCACTGATAGAATAAATGGCAGAAGGAATTCTTCTGTTAGTGGCCACGATGGCTTGTCTTCTAGAGGATTGCACATGCGTGGAAGGGGTCCTGGAAGAGGTTCTGGAAGAGGTGGCCATGGAAATTTCAGAGCGAATGAGAGATTTCAGCAGTTTGATAGGCAAGTTGATAGGAAAGGATTTGGTTTTAGGCAACAAGGAAGAAGGAATCAGTTTCCCAATAATGGAACACGAGGTTCACGCAGAAATGTAAGAGATTCGGAGTGGTAATGAAGTGTTTCTATGCATTTGATCAGCCTGATAGTAGGAACAAAATTTATGATCGGCAATGGAAGTGCTAGTGATTTCCTGATTGATCCAGCAGCTTTGATGATGATGAATATAGGTCTTAGGGATGGAAGACCTATATAGAAAATGTTGCTGTCTGAACTTGCTAAATTCTCTTATAGAGGTGAGCATTTTGAAGCAATATACAGATGATTTTTCTGTTGAAGAAACTAACCCTTGGGTTGGTCTCCATTACGGTGGTTGATTGAAGATTTTGAATATTCACTGTCACAGCTTTGCATTTTTTGACAATGTTTCTTACCTCTGAAGTCTTTCGATCTGCCCAGCAATCATTTCAATGAAGTTTGTTCATCATGCTGATTATTCTTTGGCAATCTTATACGGTACCATGTTGTTGTAGTTTATCCACCAATGCTACAAGTGCCAAACTTTTGCTATTGGGTCTCTGGTTTGTAAGTTCCTTTTCTTTGGAATAATTGTTCTGCCACATCAAAGAATAAATAACCATCAACTGACATGAATTTCTATATCGATTTCCTGTTCTATTGTGGGTTGACTGGAAAATTAGCTGACTCATCGAGTGATGTGTATCATTCTTTTCTCATGGCAAAGAAGTGGTGAGCTGTGATCTCGTCTTTTTAGTTTCTCCCTTTTGGACAATTTTGGGATCAGAAGATGACAAGAGTTGGGTAGCTGGTTTATGTATATAGTCCCTGGGACCTCCAATCTGATATCTGGAAAATTTCTTGTAATCTCATCAATACTTGCTTTATTTCCTTCCATGTTGGTGTAGAGGATATGGAAAAACAATTATTGTGAAGACCAGTGAACACATAACGTGCCGTGAGATGAATGATGATAACTTTGAACTTTGTGAATGAGATGACGATTTTGAAACCTTGAGATGTTTGTGTTTTTCATTTGGGAAATATCGAGTGTTGGTCTTTTTGGATCCATGCACGATGGTGTTCTTTGTTAAAGAACTTTTTCTGCCTTTCATGATCATCAATCTATCTGCATGTGTTGGGTGTCATATTATAAATCCTTGCAGGTAATGCAGAAAACAAAACAAGAGGGGCAATGCAACCAACCGTAAAGGGAATTCTGACCAGTAAGCATTATTATTGCGTCGAAGTTACATGATATTATAACACGAGTTCTTATACATCAGCATAGTCGTATCTCTCAATAGTTTATTTCCACACATCCCTAGTCGAATTGGATCTTCATCCAATACTACTCCACAGGACAGAGCAGAGTCGAGAGTGCTTAGACCCAGAGAGCACCTGCATCACGAAGAAGAGGGACCAGTTTCCCACCCAGGTGAAGTGACATGATCCTGTCCGTAGATCCAACCGGCTTGCCGCCGATGAACACGGCCGGCACCGGCGAGTTACGGCCCACCAGCTTGGCGAGAGCCTTCTCCATCTCTCTTCCCCTGGGGTCCTCGTCCAGCTCGTAGACGGCGGCATTGACACCCAGGTCATGGAAGAGACTCTTCACGGTGTGGCACATGCAGCAGGAGCTCAGGCTGAAGATTACGACTGCCTTTTGGGATGCCAACTTCATCACCTTGTCCATTCCTGATGCACACACGAGATGTGGCTGTTTGAATGACTGTGTACTCTGCGATTTGTTCTGTGTCGGAGTTGTTTCTGCTGCTTGACTCGCTTATATAGAGAGAGAAAGAGACAGAGAGCCAAGAACAGCACCGGAGCATGTTCCATGGCCAAAAGGCCCTTCTTATCATTGTGTTGACAGTGACCCCTTTGTGTCAGCAAGTGGAGTGATTTGGATAATGTCAAATATCTAGTCAGCTGTGTCCACAGATCGGCCAATGCATGCAGGAGGAATATGAACCATTTAGCTTTTGACGTCGACAAATGCTTTTGCATTTCGATAAGGTTCGAATCCACCCTCCCTCTTGGAGGATCAGCAGGGGACGCCGACCTTTGCTGCAGAAGTTTCAAGACTCCTGAAACGTACATGTACGTGAGCTGCCACTGCAAGCACGCGAGTTAGCAATTGGCAGAGACGGACAAAGGTTACAAATATATTAATTAGTTATCTTTAATATTTCGATCCATATATTTTTAAAAGTAATATTGAGATCCTTATTATTATGAAAATAAAATATTTAATTCCATTGCTCCAATAATTTTTTTTTATTTTTAATTTTATAAAATTAATTTTTTTTAATTTTGTATAGGAATCTTAATGTTTTACCTTCATAATTTCGTAATAATAAGGATCCCAATATAACCTAACTTTTGAAGGTGTAGGGATCGGGATGTTAAAGATAACTAATTACAAATATATATATATATATAATTAGATATATAAATTAAAATCATTTATTTTACTGCCTTTTACATACATATACATATTAGAATGAGCATAATAGATCATTTCTAAATTTTTTTATTTCTTCACATCAACGACAAGCTGTAATATCTCAATTAATCGAGATCGACCATAACGATAGATCTTACATTAATTTATGCCAAACAATATCCTTCGAAGTTCTCATAGCTTCTCGTAAATAGTCCTTTTATTTGTTTTACCTCTCTTTGCACCACTAATTCTAATTGTTATTTATCGATATATCCATATCATTCTATCATGTTAAAAAATTCTTTCTCATTTTATCTCCTATCAAAACTACACTTAATTGTTTAGAGATACAAACATATCTTTTTCTACCGATTAGCTCCATACATCTACCTTGATATTCTTATTTCTTCGATAATGAACTTGCAAATTGTAATAGAAATTACAATATGCAATGATCTAGTTGTTTTGATGGACCGGCAACAAATGGTTATCGATACTGATAGGGCATATTTTGGCCCTATGTGAACCACCGATAAACGTTGTAGATCGACGCAACACCGTACGCCTCCAAAATCGCGGGGTGCATGCTACGTCAAGCTCCAACGGTGCGACTGTGCGAATTGACCACCCCAAGAGCGGGGGCGGTGCCGTCTGCTGTTAGGGCAGTGCCATCTGACGCCGCTCAAGCACCCCCGAAGATGCCACCTCATCAGAGAGGTGGTTTCGCCCTAGAGTCAATGGCCATGCCGGACCAGGGCCCGACCAATTCCCGCACATAGGTATAAATACCCCTGACCTAATCCAGGAAGAAAAGGGATGGGAGAAAAATCAATTGATCACTCCACTGACTTGCTCGTCAGAGGGGCCTCGTCGGGTGATCCCGACGAGGGCTATTTTTACAGGAAAACACGATCATCTCACGAAGACAAGTTGCCAACCATCCCGGAGAAGGAGAGACATAGCATGACATACATAGTACCCAGATCAGCACACCAAGGAACGCTGATCAGCACCCAGTTGTGAGGGCCCGGTCAACCTCGACATCTAGCTCAGCTGGCAGAAGACTCCCGACATTGACCCGTGGACCAGGCCGTGCTGACTCATCAGCCACGACACATTTATTCACTAACATTTTGGCGCTAGAAGGAGGGCCATGTCGCAGGAGCATTTGACAGGAATTCTCCCCGAGGGAGAACCACCGACCGACCCCCCTTCCGAAAGTAACGACTGACTCATCAGCAGCGTCTAGACTCATCGTCGGGTCAAGTAGCTTAGGGGCATCTCCGTATTGAAGCTCTTGCCCAAGCCTCTCTAGATCAGTTCCCGACCTGCGGTTCGCCGACCTAGCTCTTGCCCGAGCCTCTCTAGATCGGTTCT